TGGAGACTATCTGCAGGGGTAGCACTGATTCACTGGAAGGCATATTGATGAGTTGGCAAGATATTGGTGTTGCGCTGATGAGCGCTGGACTCAGGGAAACTTTGAAACACTTTGTATTCATATTTTTGATAATATAAGCTGTGAAACTCGGTTCTCGTCTTCTCTACCTTTGTCTATTATCAGACTACTGTTCGTTGTGTGTGGGAGAACGATGCATGGCATGTACACACTTGCGTGAGATGGTCTCCAGGACCCATGCAAGTGGTTCTCGCAATCGAAATTTCATTGATGTCCCTTATCGCCACCTGCAATATTTCGATTATGCCCCTCCTCACCGGCTGCAATCTGTCAATTATGCCCCTTCTCACCGTCTGCAATCTTTCAATTATGCCCCTTTTAACCGACTGAAATTCTCCGTATGGGAGCTTGATATCCATCAAACAATAAAAAATGAAAAAATGAAAAAGAAAGAAAAGGTTTTCTCCCTGTGCCTTTTTTTCTGTTTTGTTTTGTTTTGTTTAACATCAGGTCAGTCGGCAGCCCGGGAGGTGGTAAGAGTCCCTTCCAGGTTGAGATCTGCAAATTGGACGACTAGATCTTAAATGTATCTGGATTCTGGACCGCAAATACAGCCGCACCTGGATGTATCTGGCCACAATTACATGCAAAAATCAGTAGAGAAGTCCTGTGTGAGTACTATGCCCTTAAACGTGTTTATTTGACAAGTTCTGGAAAGTTCAACAGGTCCTCAGCGTCCCTCAGGGTTTACTCACACTAGCACCATGTTAAATGTATCTGACCGCGTTTACAGCCGGACCTGGATGTATCCGAGCGGCGCCAAAACAGAGAAAGGCTACCCTCTTCCCTCTCCTCCCCAATACAATGTACGGTCATTATAGCTGTATTTGGGGTATCTTTCAGTCTAAATACAGCTATAATGACCATACGTTGTATTTGGGGGAAGAAGGTCGTACCGTCGTTATAGCTGTATTTGGGGTATCTTTCAGTCGCCTAAATGCAGCTGTAATGACCAGACCTTGTATTTCAGGGGAAGAAGGTCGAACGTAGCTGTATTTGGTGTATCTTTCAGTCTAGATACAGCTATCGTGACCATACGTTGTATTCGTATGGAGGCACCGAACCTGCAGGTGGGTGATACCGGCCAGGGTTCAGCCGGTAGCATCAGGACCAGGGGTCAGCAGGTAGCATCAGGACCGAGCTTGCTTCTTCGATGGGGCAGTCGCTGTACCTCTTCTCCGGTCCCCTCCCCCTACGAACATCAGCAGTCTGTGCTCAATGCTGCTCGAGAGGACCAGCGGCCTAGCGGCCTATCCTTAGGTGGTGGGCGCCAAGCTTGCCGAGGAAGGTACACCACAAGTGGTTAACGGGGACCCCCAGTTTCAGGCCCTGGGTAACGGGTCCAAAACTGAACTTGCATGCCTTACCAACTGAACTACCTCCTCCCCCGAATACAACGTATATGGTCATTATAGCTGTATTTAGCCTGAAAGATACCCCCAATACTGCTATAATGACCATACATTGTATTTGGGGGAAGAAGGTAAGCTGCTGCCGCATTGTTCTGTAATTCCAATTTACTAACAGTACCCCTAAAATTCTGCACATAAGAAGTCTCGTTGGTTTATGGCTGTCTTGGGCAGCCCAAGGGCAGAGCTTCTTTTTTTTTTTTTTTTTTTTGTGAGAGAAATAAATATCGAAGTGAAGTTGATTACTGTTGGGAAAAAAAAAAAAAAAAAAACCCTGCTGTGAATAACACCTTTCCATGTACAGACCGTAATCGCTCGTCAAAAAACTAAAAATAAAAAAATCGCTCATCCGTCATGCCCATTAGGCCACTGCTCCATCACACAAGTGGGGGAAGCGTGTCTATCTTTCCAGGGACTCTATCCATTTGTGGTAATCTCCCTCTTCCATAGGAATAGAGTCAATAGATGGATCAATGGGCGCACCATGGCCAGTCCTTTCTGTGTCAACACAGGTGTGACTGGCTATGGCGTCGAGCTAATGTGGGTTCAGCACCACATGCATCAACTTCAACTCCACGTCTGGATGTACAGCGGGATCCCTGTCCAGAACGTCTGTGTCTGGATGTACGGCCGGATGTCCAGGCGGGTAAGTCTCTGCCGGTAGATCTACCAAATGCTTGTCGGTTGATAGCCACAGATGTCTGCCTACAGGCTTATCAGCGACAATGTTATACTGCTTCCCATTTTGTTACAATTGCTTATCAGCTTGATGCTGTTGAAAATCAGCTGTTGTATGACCATAATGGTCCAACGCCTGAAGGTAGTAATTATACTACCTCAGGAGGCTTTACTGCAAATGTCTTACAGCTAGCTTTCCACGGTCGTCACCTTCTTATGCATCATGCGACGCCAGGCGATGACCTTAATGACCATCCTCATATTTCTGCCTGTATTTTGCACAGACCCGGGCATTATATGGCACTCATTCGTGCAGCTGCCCAGTGGGAACTGTGGGATGGTGGGACAATGATTCAGGCTATTTTCAACATAAATGAATTTCTGTGTGCATTACTGAATCATACTTCATTCTGGATTATTGATCGACTCTCGTGTGACACCTGTCGGGACAGGGACGCGGTGCGTCTTGGCTGCAGCATTCATCACCTATGCCATCAATATTATCAATCTATTGCAGCTGCCGCCGTCTGTGGCGAAGGGTGTCCAACATTTCCTCATTGTACACATCCCTATCACCCAGATATTCGCTGTCCTTTTTGTGCTCAAGGACACTATCAGGACTGCATGATGCCGCATTGTGATGAACGTCCTGCTGTTTTCTTGACATGTGGACAGCATGTCCTTTGTCAGGACTGTTTTGATGGGATGATCCGTGCGAGCCGTCCTGCTGAATGCTGTGCTGAAGTAGCTCTCCTTAGGTATCCTTGTGAACATCCACGTCATCCTCAGCGTGCCTGTCCTATCTGTCGGGGTGGGGGCTCCTCTTCCTGACTGGTCAATAGAATTAAGCAATCAGGAGCAACACTAATTGTAGAATAGATAAAAGAAGGAAAGACGAAAAGTACAATTTCTGGAGAAAAGAAAAAAGAAAAAAGGAAAAAAAAAACAAGAAAAAAAGAAAAAAAGAAGAAAATATGTTGAACTTCGTAGTGACAGTGGCAATTGATTTATCTGTGGGATGTTATTTGCTTGCTTTCTTTGTCGTTTCTTTGACTTTTCTCTTCCTCTTGCCACTGTAAGGTCTGATTTCCTCCTTTTCTTTACCTCTTTGCCTTTTGGCTGCGTGCAAGTGGGTCCTTGTGACACACGGGGATGGGGGCAGCCAACGCTCAACCTGTCATCCACGTGGCTGGCCTTGTACGTAAGAGGTGATGAACAGGTGGGCCTTTCCTTCCTTCTTTTCCTTTCCTTGTTTTGCTTTTTTTCGCCTTCGCGCTCTAATTTACAGTGTGACTATATATATATATATATATTTATATTTACCGGGCAGTTCTGTTTGTGACGTATATATATCGTCAAATAGAACTGCCCGGTAAACTGTAGGCAGAGAGGGAGAAGAGGACAACAAACGAGGGGCTGTGACAAACTGTTTCGTCGGAGTTTCACCGACTCATCAGGAGGCTGAACCCTCAACAGTCTGCAGAATCCC